TGGACCGGACCAGACAGCGATTTGGCCAGACACTTAGATATGGAGGAGGCGCAGCTTGAACATCAGCGACACCTGTCCAACTTGCTCAGTTTAGCTGTTCCGCCGACCAGGCGAACTCTGTTGAAAGAACTGGTGCGTGGAGCTTTGTGCTATTGCATTTCTTACATGACAGTAGTAGCTTTGCTGCAGTTGCAGATTGTAGACACGAAAATGCAGATTTTACACAATTATATTGCTGTAGAAATATTATGGATTAGTTAATGAATAACCCTCTATTATTTATGACATCGAGCTCTAACTTATTATTGATTACATTGAGAGCTTATCCGAATATTTTGCACTTGGTGGTTGTCATAGTTGTTCGCAGGATGGTAAAGGTAAAATGGTCTTCGCTTTTTTCGCCTGATGAATATCGAATATCATCAAGCTACTGACAAAAGTGGCACGCACGATTGTCAGTCAAAGTTCATTTAAGGCGCTGTTCACAGGGTCAGAGTCTTAGTTCTACATGCTTCCTTCAGATTTTGTTACAGGTACGGTCCCCTCCGCCTTTCACGCGCCCATGAAAATGGGTGGCTACATGCACGCGCGTGAAGTTGGTTCATGCTCCTGTGGCTGTAAAACAGATATTTTATGCTCGAAGGATAGATAGCATGATGGAGTTTTAACAATATTTTCAGTAATGATTAGTTTGGAGGGCGATCGCAATCTTTTATTGCCGAAAAAGACGTCTACGAGCATCCTTCCCTAAGGCGTATCTAAGTAAAAGCATGAGGAACAGTAACAACCTCTGATAACCGTTCTGTTGCTAGATAAACGTTTATAGGAATTTTTATGGCATAGAAAATCCTTCATCGTACTTTGCGTTTGCATGCAGCCAATGTTTTATGTTGATCGTTGTTCATCATCATGACTTGAATATCAAGGTAGTAGACAAAATATTGTTTTGCATCAGTAGTATTTATTGAGGTATATTTTATTATATCAGAATCTTTTAATGGTTGCATTTTTGAATAACTGAATGTTGTGGAGTTACTGGATTCTAAGCTTGTCTACAAAATCTGAAGGGGAAAGAATGCCTTTGTGCTATACCGACATTTCTATCGATGGTCATTCAATCATCAGGGCACTTAATAAAAATGACGCATACCTGTGATGAGATCCAATGATAATTGATCTTTGGTTGGAATGTTGCTGCACGTTTTACAAACAGCAGTAACTTTTTGACGACATGATTACTGAATGTGTTGCTGCTACTAACTGTATCTAAAATTCACAAATAAAGGTGTATTTTTTTCTAATATTTTATTCTGTGCACGAATTTTGAGAATTTATATTCACGAATTCTAGCTACGATTGAACATAAACTTCTATGCTATCAAACCCGCGCAAGAACTGTACCGATACTTGGAGATCGAATTTTGTCCACTGGAGCTCTCGCAGAAAATCATCCCTGTGTTAGAGGAGATCAACGATATCGGTAAACCTGAGCTCGTACAATACCTATCGCCGATCAAAGAAACCGCTGCTTTGAAGATTATGAAACAGGTGTTTAAGGGGCAGTGGATATTAAGCAATGATACGAGATGTTTTTCTTTTGCTTTCAGACTTCCCAGATTTACAAAGCGATTTCCTTCGATCGAATGCTGTCGATAATTCCGTTTTTTGACCAATTCTATCTTGAGAAACTTATCGTTTTTGCGGGAAAGAGAAATCTGATTCAGGTAAATAAAAGTCATATTTGTCCAGGAAGAATTTTTTTTAAAAATACGTGACTGTATATTTACATGACTCATTGAATACCTGACGAAACCCGCCTAAAGCAGCCCTGAAATGGCCTATGAACCATATGGACTAACCTCAATTTCTTCAGGCATCATATTAGCGATGAGGGCATGGAATAAAAGATGCTAGGACTGTCCTGGACACCGCTGACATTTTGTTGTCAGATTCTGAACTTTGAGCAGAGCGCAGTGGCATGGTGGCAGAGAGATACAATCTTTTTCATTACCATGAATGACTTTGAGCAGGGAATTTACCCAAGGTTACTTTGGTGCAACCAGCTGAGAAACAGGTAGCCAGTCATTAACTTGCAAACGAGAAGAACTGTATGGTATTCTGCTGTGATCATACCGGAATGAACCCGGTGTGTAGCCATGTTGTTTGATGCGACAGCTTCTTATAGCTACATTTTTCTCTGACCCTCCTGATAGCTGTCTTTCCCATGTAATAATCACTACATTGTGTATCCCTGAAAAAAACTTGTAAGTTTTAGTGTACGAGGCGCTTCACTACTACCTGCACCTGGAAACTGTTTCGTACTGTTAACTGATACGACAGTATTCGTTGCAGAAGAACTTCTTGCTTGATTATCGTTCTTTCACTTAACTTGTCTTCATTTTGAGTTTTCCACCAATGCAGATCAACGCTTCTGCAATCTGTTTGTTCAGCAGTCCGTTCAAACAGCGAATTCTTATGAATTATTGCCGAAGTTCCCCGAACTTTCCTCCTGCTCAACGGATTTAGAGAAGTGAAATGATGTTGATGTTTTGACCAGGAACAGATATCATTTATAATTTGCGACAGCTGCCGTCTTGACATATCATAGCGGGCTCATGTACCACTTGTAGGCTCTTAGTTTGGCAGGAGCTGTTGAATTTTAGACTACCACTATCATTACATATATTTTAGTTCGTTATGGTTTATTTCGTTCTTAATACCTATGTCAGCCGTATTCTGATTGTGTTCGCTCTTCTATTCCAGGTGCGTCGTGATCATCGCCAAAATTCAATCGAATTCGGTGCCGAAGAGTCGATTACCCCTACTTCGGAGGACGACATGCCGTTCGGTTTCCAGTTCGACGTACCGGTCATTCAGCCGACCCAGAGCTTTCAGATTTGTCAGTATTTGCAGACCCTGTACAGCTGCTTGAGAGAGATTGTGTGGAAAACGTGTCCTGAGTTAGAAAAGGTGTTTCCTTTAAATATTAATTTAGTGTTCAGTGTTACTGCATCGCTGTAGTTTAGTATTTTTAAGCAGCATTAGTTATCTTTTTTATATGATATAAATTGTAAATTTAACGAATGCGCTTACATTAATTAGGTTCTTCTACACGACGGCTCCACTCTACACTGTTATACTCACTCTATAGAATGCCCAACGTTTCACAGCACACTAGATCGATGCTTGAGTTTAATACGAATATTGAGGCCGATCGAACAGAAATGAATCTAACATGATCGTAG